AGCTCGAACGCTGTTCCTTGAGGGATGAACCCCTCCTCCTCCCCCCTCCTGGACGTCTGTCTGACACGCGCGAACCCCCGGTCTGGGACTCTGCCATATGGCGGAGTCAGCTCGCTCCCCCTGGCAAGGACTTCCCCGACCCAAAAGCCATGTGCTAGGTACCGGAGGTGGAGGTGCGTGGATCCTGACAGTGGGAGTTCAGGCGGCCAGGTCAATGGGGGGGAGTACCCCCCCCAACTATACGTGAAGTGGTTGAAGACGCCGTCCCTGTCGTGGATGCTCTGCAGGTTCTCCCCCTTCCACCAAGCCACTCCTCCTCTTGTTGTAACTGGTCTGGCTTCGGCTCCATGTTGTTCTCCTGCTGCTGAATCGGCTTGGTGGCTTCCATGTCCTCCTTTTTGCTGCGCTCGGCCCGCGTCACGTTGTTGGGGTGAGGCCTTCGCAGTCTGCTCCCGCCTGTAGTCCCCTTGTTGTCGGGCAAGGTAGCGTTCACGATGTTCTGTTGCGGCCTTGTCCCCCGCATTGGCCGTTGTGCCCCCTTTCTGTTGTGGTACGCGGTCTTCAGCTGGACGTTCATGACGTAGATCTCCCCGTTCTCGCGCTTCATAGCGTTCCCGGTGGTGAGTAGCTTCTTTGTCCCCCCCAGCAGGGGTGGTGTCCCCTTGTTGTGTCGGGGATTGTTGGCTGCCCTCCCCCTCTGCCGCGTCGAAGGGTACCATGTCGACCCAGTGCGCCACTTGGTTCCATGTGTACTGGTCGGGTTTATGGATCCCCCGCCTCTTGAATTCTGCACGAATCTCGCTCTTCGTTGCCTTGTTTCCTCTGCGTTGATCTCCTTGACCTTCATGGTAGTTGCCCTGGCTCGCTCCCCCTCGACATTGATCGTCTTGTTGATCTTGTCCCCCTTGTGGATCGCAGACTTCTTCGAGTTCAGGGGTTTGTTGTGGGTCGTCTTGCTCTTGGTCAGCAGGGGCGTGTTGCTGCGCTCCCCCGCCTTGCTGTTGGTCTTCTGGGCCTTGCTGTTGCTGCGGGTTGCTCCCCCGCTGCTGCCTCGCTTCCGTTTGCTGCGTCTGCGCGTTGTCTGTCGCGTGTCCCCATCTACGGCTGGGGGCTTCGGCTTGTGCTTGTGCTGCCTGGGCCTGCTTCTGCTTGTGCTCCTTGATTTTCTGAAGTTCCTCCGGGATGAGTCTCGGCTGCTGCTGCGGTGCTTGCTGCTGTGGATTTGCGGCTCCCCCTTGCGAGCCGTGCGCGTGCTGCTCCCCTTGTTGGGTCTGCTGGTTTGGTGGCGTCTGGCTGTTAGGGCCTCCCTGCGGGTTTTGGGAGTGCGAGACCATGTGCGGTGGTCTGGCTTGCTGTGCTTGGATGGCACTTAGGCGGTTCGCCTGGTAGGTAGCCGATCCCTGGATAAGGGCCTGCTGCTGTTCCCAGGTGAGGGCGGTAACTTGTGCTGGGCCCCCCACCACGGGCTGACCGTTTGAGGAGCTAGGTGGTTGCCCTTGGACATGTTGTCCCTGCGGTTGTCCCCCTCGTCCCTGCTGGCTGTACCCCTGTGCCTGCTGCGTGTGGGGCTGTCCTCCCGCAGCCCCCCATTGCCATGCCTGTTGGCTGTAGCTCTGTGCTGCGGGTAGTGGTGGATCATCTTCTTCCTCATCTTCGTGCCATAGGTCTGTGTGGGGGTCATAGACCGGGGCGTATCTTGGTCTCCACGGGCCGTTGGATGGTGCCGCTGTTGCTGCATAGCCCCACGTCCCCGGTGCCGGTCCCGCGTAGCCCCTCCCCTGCTGTGGTTGTACTTGTTGTGGCAAGGGCTGGTGTGTTGGCGACCAGCCACTGTTCCATTGGTTGGTGGCTGCCGGTGCTACCCCCCGGGTTGTGGCTTGTCTTGGCAGGTATGGTTGCTGTTGTTGACCGTGGGGCGCCCCCCTGGCTCTCCCAGGCCCTTGCTGCTCGCGCTTCCTGCCCCCTCTGGTCCTTCGTCAGCAAAAATGGACCAGCCCGAGTGGTATTGTTGAAGAGGGTCTCCACTGGCTGCTCCCGCTGCTCCTTGTGCTTCCCCTAAAAAGATCGGTTGCCAGGCTCCTTCTTCCAAGACCCACGTGGTGCCTTGTGGGTAGCCCATGTTGAGGAGCATCTCTGGCTGCAGAGGTGGTGGCAACGGCATGTTCGTTTCTTGTAGTTGCTGTGGTGGTGGTGGCGGGATCGAAGTCGTCGTTGTGGTGGGCGGTCCCATTCTGGTAGTCCCCCTCGTTGGCGGGTTGGTATTGGACACAGCCATCCAGGAAGTTTCGTCTCCCTGATCCTCGTTAATAGCGTTGGAGGCGTGCCGCTTGGCGGTAGCCCGCCGCTCGGTCGTCATAGCCGTCCTGGTTGCCCCGCTGGGTGTGCTGGTTCGTGTGGTTGTACTTCTCCAGGCGGTTTTGGTAGCGCTCGTCCAACTCGGCATCGTTGGGGTCGGTGTTGGTCTCGTTAGGGGTGCCGAGCGTGGTCTCCCCGTCCTTGATGCTCTTCTCGTAGGGCTTCCCCTTTCTTCCCCGCTCGAAGGGCTTGATCGCGTAGTCGGGCTGGTCCTGGTGGTTCTGGTAGTAGACCACTTCGATCTCGACGTCGTGGATGGCGGTCGTGGAGTTTCAGGACGTGCCCGCCTAGCCTGTGCCGTCGTACTGTTCCAGGAGCCCCCGCTGTTAGAGGTGAATCGCGTAATCGAGCTTGTCCCGGGGGTCCTCGCAGTAGGCGCCGGCGCCCCTGTCCTCGACAATGGCGTTGGCATTCCTTCCCTTGTTGTGGGCGACGTACGGGCAGCTCTGTTGGGCTTTCCCCGGTACACCTCCGAGGCGGCGGCTCTGTCCGGTGCCCCCGCCGTTGGCGTTGTTTGGGATAGCTCTGAGTGGCTGCCCCCAGGTGCAGCTAGAGGGTATTGCGCCAGGGTTCCGAGGATTCCCCCCAGCACTGCTGCAAAAAGAAAATGGTGGTGTGGCTCATGGCTCTACAGTCTTCTAGAGCGTAGGCGCGCAAACTTCCTGAATTGAGCCAAGACATTGCTGGCTTCTCATGTAGTCGTTGCTCTCGACGGTTTTGCAAGCAAGTGGTTGACATGGTACTGTATGGCACTGCACAGAGAACAGAGGCAAAGCTGCATTTCACTGGGAGATTTTGACTCGGTCACGAAGGGAAGGAGGTGAGGTGGGCTCGGGCAGGTTCCCCAGGGCTGTATGGCAAACGGCTCATGTTCCCCCGGCACAGGCAAGGTGTACTTTGGTGCTCTGCTACGGTGCACCTCTGGGCGGGTCGCGTCCTCCTGCGTCCTGTAGTGGTAGCTCCCCTCCTGGTCTTCGTCTCCCCCCAGGCGTTGGCGCCAAGTTCGCGAGCGACGGCTGCTTCCCCGGTGCCCAGGGTGGATCATGGGCTTGTATGAATTGCACTTCCGCATTTCTCCACGTCTCCCGGTCTTGGGCTGCACTCATCCATTGATCCCCCACCAGGTTGGTGATGTGTCTCTCGACATCAAGGGCCGGGCAAAACCTTCGGGCATGTCTGGCTCCCTCTCGCAGTTGTTGTTGTTCTCTCCACCATGCCATACATCTCCATTGTAGGATCTCCTTAAGGGGTCCTTCGCGGCGTGCAACGTGTCCATGTAGCTTCCAGATCGAGCTGAGAACGAAGGTGCTCCATCTGCCCCCCCCCCCGCTTTCCGCATGAGGTG